GAGGAGTAAACATAGTAGCAAAAACCACAGTAAGACAGAAAGTCCCATGAAGACACCTTGCCTTGCTGGGGTTCAGCAACGGCCAAAAATATCCCTGAGATATCCCTTTTAGCAAGCTCCTTTCCCGACTTCAGATCCCTGCCTGCTGGAAAGACCTGGGGGAAGACGGCTCTGCTAGGGGATTTCTGGCTGGATCAGATTCTCTAGCCCAGGGGTCCCCAACCTCCGAGATCTAATGCCTGATGATCTGAGGTGAAGTTGATGTAATAATAATAGAAACAAAGTGCACAATAAATGTAATGCACTTGAATCATCCCAAAAGTATCCCCTGCCCCATCTGTGAAAAAGCTCTCTTCCATGAAACCAGCTCCTGGTGTCAAAAAAGGTTCAGAACCATTGCACCTAGACATAGTTACATCTTCAGAGCTTCTTTCTAGCTGATCTGCATCCTGGTCATTCATTACTCAGGTGCCAGGGCTGGCAATTCTCTCGCTGGAAAAGCTGGAAGGTTGGAGTAAAAGGAATAGGACCCAGAATCAGAAGAAACTGATTTCTGATGTGCTAATTCTCACCTTCTGATGATGGAGCTGGTGATATGCCCTTGGGAAATCTAGCCTGTCTCCCAGAATACTTCCTCCTGCAAGTGGCATCTAGCCGTGCTCAGTGCAGCTGAGAAGTTTTTCAAGTGCAACAGACAGAAATCGATGACAGGCCTGCCCTGGCTTGTGTAACTGGGAAGCACAGGATGTATCCTGCACGACAGACCCAGGACTGCACCATGCTGTCAGGACCACTGCTTTCTCTCTGGCCACCTCTTGGTGCTGCTGCTCCCTGGAAGCTGGCTTAGTCTCTTTGACCTCAGAAGGGCTCTTTCCACATAGCAGGGAAGAGGGCCCCTCACAGACCCAGGTTCAGATCCTTCCAGCATCTCAGAAGCAGGAGGTTTTTCTCTTGGTTTCCACAAAACAGCCCCGATAAGTGTTCTGATTGGCTGTTAATGGGGCCAGTTGGCCTGGCTTGGGCATGCACTCACTTCTGAACAAGTCTCTGCACCCAGAAGGAGATGATGCACTAGGCCGGTCATGTCATGTGCCCACATGTGGTTGAAATCGAGTGGGGTGGGGAGGCAAGCTGTGTTATCAGTGGGAAGGACAGGAGAAAAATCATGCCAGCAGATAAAATCCATGACTGCCTCAGCCCCCAGCTTGCCTGCATGTGTCCAATAGCCGTGGTCCACGGTGGATGATGCAGGACAATGCTGAGACAGAAGCCAGGGAAAGGATGAATTAAGAGTGAACCCAGAGGGGTGGAGAGCCTGTGAAGGTGAGATTTCTCCTCTTATACTTGGGAAGCAGTAGTTTCAAAGAGGAGAAACCTCCCCTCCATGGACAGGGAACCCAGAGTCATGTCACACCTCCAGAAGCTATGTGAGGTGACTTTAGTGGGGACAGCACCTCCACAATTTCACTCTGAAAAAATACAGAGTAGTTGTGGATTCATGGGGCTTGTCTGAGGTTCTATAGAAGCAAGACCTGAGATGGAGATTCTCAGTAGGAACACTCTGGGGAGAAGAGGAACATCTCAGAAGCAGGAGGTTTTTCTCTTGGTTTCCACAAAACAGCAGCGATGAGTGTTCTGATTGGCTGTTAATGGGGCCAGTTGGCCTGGCTTGGGCATGCACTCACTTCTGAACAAGTCTCTGCACCCAGAAGGAGATGATGCACTAGGCCGGTCATGTCATGTGCCCACATGTGGTTGAAATCGAGTGGGGTGGGGAGGCAAGCTGTGTTATCAGTGGGAAGGACAGGAGAAAAATCATGCCAGCAGATAAAATCCATGACTGCCTCAGCCCCCAGCTTGCCTGCATGTGTCCAATAGCCGTGGTCCACGGTGGATGATGCAGGACAATGCTGAGACAGAAGCCAGGGAAAGGATGAATTAAGAGTGAACCCAGAGGGGTGGAGAGCCTGTGAAGGTGAGATTTCTCCTCTTATACTTGGGAAGCAGTAGTTTCAAAGAGGAGAAACCTCCCCTCCATGGACAGGGAACCCAGAGTCATGTCACACCTCCAGAAGCTATGTGAGGTGACTTTAGTGGGGACAGCACCTCCACAATTTCACTCTGAAAAAATACAGAGTAGTTGTGGATTCATGGGGCTTGTCTGAGGTTCTATAGAAGCAAGACCTGAGATGGAGATTCTCAGTAGGAACACTCTGGGGAGAAGAGGAACGAGGGAAGTGGGAGAGGATAGAGGAAGAAGCTGAGAAAGAAGTGGCGCATCTGAGTTCTGACCTCGGTCTGACCCCACAGGGAGCTCTGTAGAACTGATGGCACCAGACTTATTCGGCTTTGAGACAAGGGACTAGGCTTCTGCAGCCCGTCTCTGTCAGTCCTTGGTGACAGAGGGAAGCAATCATTTGTAGGCAGCCCAGGGCTCAGAAGGAGGAAACAGCTGAGAGCTGTAAGCAGCCAACACTCCCAACTGTGGGGGGAAGGGTAGCCAATTAAAGGTGATGAGGGTGGACCCAACAGCACTCCCTAGAGGGCTCCAGTGAGATAATGTAGCCATCAAAATGCCACAAACTATCACCATCATTTTCTCTCTGTTGTATAAAGGTAAGAGTGAACATCACATAATGCATGGTTCTCTGCCAGATACTGCCCTCAGTGATGTAAGCATGTATCGGCAGTGGGAGTCTAGACAGACATAGGTTCATATCCTGTGCCAGGCCTGCCCTGGACTAGTTATGTGATTTGGGGCACGTAATTTAACCTCCTTGAGCCTGAAAAGGTTCCTGGATCCAATTCCAGTGTGTGTGTGTGTGTGTGTGTAGGCTTCCCACACCAACAAACTCAACATCTACCCAGAGACACAACCACACTCCACAGGTAAAGGGTTCAGTCCCACAAGACTGCCCTTCACCTCAAATGCCAGGTGCAAGCCGAAGTTGTTACCTGTGCTTCTGACTGGCTAAAAATCAGAAGTTCCCATGATCTGCTCTTTGGGTTTGAAAAATTTTCTAGAAGAGCTCACAGAATCATTTACTCACTAGATTGTCAGTTTCTTACAAAGGATATCAAAGGATACGAATCAACAACCAGATGAAGAGATACATGGGGTGAGGTTCCCAACAAAGGAGCTTCTGTCCTTGGGAAGCTTGGAGCCTGGCCCAGCAGCACGTGGAAGTATTCTGGTTCACCAAGGTAGCGCTCCAAAAGCCCTCTTTTTTTTTTGTTGTTTTTTTAAGCAGACTTCATGATTGATTAACTCATTGGCCACTGGGGACTGAATCAACTCCATTCCAGCCCCTCTTCACTCCTGGGAAATCACGGGTGAGACTGAAAGTTCCAACTCTCGCTTCCTATTTGGTTGCTATGGCAACACCCGCCCAGCCTTAGATGCTTTACAAAAGCCACCTCATTAACATAAACCTAGTTGTGATAGAAAGGGCTTGTTATAACTAACAAGGCACCAATTTAACCTTCCTAACTCTGAAGAAGTTCTTTTTTTCAGGAATTAAGGACAAGAGACCAAATATTATAACAAAAGATGTTCCCATTCCTCTTATTGCTCAGGAAATGTCAAGGGTTTGGGGAGCTGTGGATGAAGACCAAATATATTTTAGAAATATACTCTGATCATCTGGTGGACCTAATTGTATATATTTCTTATAAATCATAATATTTACAGCCTCAGAGTTCTAATCTGTAGAATGGGATAATAGTCAGAATTACCTCTTGGGGTTGTTGCAAGGATGATGTGAGGTCATCCTTGAGATGTTCTTGGTGCTTGGAGCAGAGGAGCTCTCAAGTGATTCTTAGTTGTTATTAATTTCTGGGACCAGTTTGTCTAAAAGACCAATGCTTTAGCTCACAGACATGTGGAGGTCACTGATTTCACAAAAGACAGGAGTAAGAATTTGCATTATGCACAAGATGAAGCCAGCTGTGGTTAAGGAAGCAAATCTGTTTTCAAAAAGAGGATGTGAAAGCACAGCCTGAGCCTGTCGGGGGAGGTGGAAGGGGGCCCTGGTAGCAGTTGCTCTGGTCCACACAGATCACTGCTCGGAAACAAGGGGCCTCACCCTGGGCTTCCACGAAGACTAGTCATCCTGAGGTCACTACCTGTCATTTGGTGGATCAGCTACTCCTCTCTGTAACCAAAGAGGAGGTATGTCTAGGTACAGATTAGCTCAGGCTCTGCCATCAGACAAACTGGGGTGTGCCCTTACTCTGCGCCCTAACAGGTGGGTGGCCATGACCATGTTACTTAGCGCCTCTAAGTTTCATTTCCTTCTCAGTTAATGGAGGAAAATCATATCTGCATCTAGGGTTATGATAATTAAATAACATTTGTAAACACTTCAATGAGTGCCTGTTCCCAAAGAGCAGCTGCTGTTGTTGTTGTGGATGTTTATTTGTTCAGCCAATGTTTACTGACCCCCTACTATGTGTCAGCACTGTTCTTGGTAGTGGGAAGTCTTTGCCAGGAAAAAACATGAGGTTTCTGCTCTTAGGGAGCTTACATTCCAATAAAAATGGTTAATAATATAACCAAGAAATGGTTAAAAAAATAACCAAGAAAAACTCCAAGGTAGTTTGTTATGTAGGAATTAAAACAGGATATGGGATAGAGAGTGATGAACTAGATCCTTTAGTCTTGAGAAAGGCCTCTAGGAGGAGGTGAGGTTCAGGCTGAGATCTAAAAACAGGATGGCACCAATGATGACATCATGTAGGGAAAAGCAGGTTTCAGGACCAGAAAGCAACGGATGCAAAGGTCCAGAGGTGGAAACAAGTTGTGCATGGTTAGAGCAAGCTCAGTACGTTTGCGGGACACACAAACTCGGGTGGCTGAAGGACAGTAAGAGAAGGTGGCAGACAGGGAAGCAGTGAGTTTGGAACAGTAGACAGAAGGGGCCACTTAGGATTTTTATAAGTCAGGTCACGAGGCTTGGTCTTGATCTAAATGGAATAGAAAGCAACAGGATTTGGGGGATTTGTTGGTGGTCCAGTGGTTAGGACTCTACATTCGCACTGTTGAGGGCCCAGGTTCAATCCCTGGTTGGGAAACTAAGACTCTGCAAACCACATAACCAAAAAAAAGAAAGAAAGGAAAGCAACAGGATTTTAAGTCAAAAAGAGACATAATTTGAAATAAGCTTGTAAAAGTTCACCTGGATAATTTCATCCAGAATTTAAAGTAATAATACCTCCTACATATCTGTCAGAAAATTGAGGATACCGGAACACTTCCCACTTCATTAGATGAGGCTGGCTTTATCCTAACAACAAAGCCAGATAGACATCACAAGAAAACTAAAGGCTGATCCACATGAACATCAATGCAAAAATTCTTAATAAAATGTTAGCAATCTGAATCCAGTAATATGCCTTTAATGACTTTTCTTCTGATCCTCCAGCAGTAGCCTTGAGACCTTCCTCTTCCAACTCCACCCACGGTCTATTTCCAATATTAGGTATCAAATCTCAAAGACTTGTAAAAAATGCATTTGACAAATGCAACACCATTCGTGATAAAAGCTCTCAATAAAATAGGAAATGAAGGAAAATTCCTCAGTCTGTAAAGGGGTATCTGTGGAAAACCTGCAGCTAACTTCATACTTAATATGAAACACTGATTAGTTTACCCTGAGATCAGGAACAAGGCATAGACATCTCCTCTCATCAGGCCTATTTCACGTTGTACTCGAGGTTCTAGTCACTGCAGTAAGGCAACAAAAAGAGATAAAGCAACTCTATAAAGAAAGCTGAGAGCTGAAGAATTGATGCTTTTGGACTGTGGTATTGGAGAAGACTCTTGATAGTCCCTTGGGCTGCAAGGAGATCAAACCAGTCAATCCTAAAGGAAATCGGTCTTGAATATTCATTGGAAGGACTGATGCTGAAGCTGAAACTCTGATACTTTGGCCATCTGATGCAAAGAACTGACTCATTTGAAAAGACCCTGATGCTGGAAAAGATTGCAGGTAGGAGGAGAAGGGTACAACAAAGGATGAGATGGTTGGATAGCATCATGGACTTGAAAGATATGAGTTTGAGCAAGCTCTGGGAGTTGGTGATGAGCAGGGAGGCCTTGCATGCTGCAGTTCATGGGGTCACAAAGAGTCGGACATGACTGAGCGACTGAACTGAACTGAGATTGGAAAGAATGAAGTAAAAAACCATCTTTATTTATAGATGACATGATCCTGTATGTAGAAAATCCTAAGGAATCTATCAAAAAACAAATATGCAAGCAAACAAACTCAAACTACTACGAATAATAGTCATGACTAATACTCCAATTTTTAAATGAGTGAAGGATTTGAATAGACATTTCACCAGAAAATACTTCCAAAAGCCTATTAAGCACACACAAAAATGCTAGTTGTTTCAGGAGCTACTGAATAGCACAGGGCACTCTTCTCAACACACTGTAATAACCTATATGGGAAAAGAATCTAAAAGAGAGTGGATGCATGTATATGAATAACTGATTCACTTTGCTGGACAGTTGCAACTAGTGCAACATTGTATATCAACTATACTCCAAAGTTTTTTAAATAAATGAAACTGAAAAAAATAAAGTTTTAGAATGCTTAACTTTGGTTTTTGGTTCCTATAAACTTTCCCAATGATCCTCTTCAGTGTCATGAGCAAAGGTGTCCTGTTCCCGTTTGCATTCTTCAGCCCTGGGAATACCGAAACCAAAACCAGCATTCTCCACGAGCTCTGTTCTTTCCCACTTGAAATCTGTTACCCAGAGGGGTGAGCACCAATCCGAGGGAGGGTATGGCTTTGGAGGAGAAAGGCTAACCAGGGCCTTTGTCTGGGGTTGCCCATGCCTTGCCCTCTCACTCGGGAACATATTGAAGCAATCTAATCACAACTCTTAGACGAACCACAGAAACTATCTACTTTCAGTGAATTCACAAGCATTCCCACCAACCTTCTAAATAAGTCTCCCTCCCTTTTCCCTCTGGCTATGCCTCCTTCTCCTTAAGACCATTGACAGAAGATGTGCAAAGTCTGAGTCTGAAACCTCATATACTACCTCACAAACCGTGTGGCCTAGAAGTTCTGGGACTCAGTGAGCTTATCGGTAAAGAGAGAATGGAACAGTCAGTGGTTCTTAACCCTAGCTGCATGTGAAAAACACTGGAGGAGTGTTTAAAAATTACTGATGTCCTGGCTACACTCCCAGATACTTGTGTCAAAATCTGAGCGGTAGGAAGCAGGCACTAGTGTTGTTAGACGATCCCCAAGGTGATTCCCATTGCAGCCAAGACTCAGAATCATTGATCTGCGTGATCACTAAGGCCAAGGTAAGTAGTGACACTGTATTACAGTCTGTGACTGGCCAGTACCCAGGGAGTGAATGCACTCAGTTTGACAAGGACCACATCTGGCCGGCTGCTGAAGAACCAGTAAGTATTTAAAAGTGTGTTTTTGAGCGCGTAAGGAAAACCACCTTCCATGGATGCATTTCAGACCTTGCCTTTAGCATCTCCTTAATCAGCTGTCCCCAGCCTTTTTGGCACCAGGGACCTGATTTGTGGAAAACAAATTTTCCATGGATGGGTGGGCAGTGGATGGTTTCAGGATGATTCAAGTGTATTACATTTATAGGGCACTTTATCTCATTATTATTACATCATCTCCACGTCAGATCATCAGGCATTAGACCCTGGACATTGGGGACCTCTGCCCTAAATGAAGAAGAACTACCACTTTATGGGGATCAGGAGTTATATCTCTTAAAGACATTGTCCAGAAGTCTCCAAACACTACAGAAAGGCAACAATGGGCTGTTTCCTCATCTTTTGTTTCTGCCCAATGAAGTGAACCAAAGGGAGAGCACATTGGCTTTGCAAAATGAAGACTATTTTTAATATTAATTTGACTTTTTGGATTGATCAGATGTCAACATTAGGCAACAGAATCCTGTGAAATTTGAGGAAGTTAAATTATATGGAAATCTTTAGCTATCTTCTTTTCTATGGATTTAGAAATTACCCATTATTCTTTATGTTATGAATAATCCCCAAATCTGTAAAACAAAGAATGTAAAGACAAAGTTTGAAAGCTTCAAGTTACCTTCTTCCTGGAATTCCCTGGAGGTTCAGGGAAGACTCTGTGCTTTCACTGCTGAGGGCTTGTTGGGGAACTAAGATCCCACAGGCTGTGCAGTACAGCCAAGTAAATAAAAATAAATACAATAAAACAAACTGCCTTCTCCCCATTTTAGCCAAAGTAATTCTAACCTTCCTGTGATGTTCTCCACCTCAGCACAGGGCACCGTCTAAAAACCCTGGAGTATCCTCAACTCTGCTCTCTGATGCTTATATGCCTAAACCATCAACAAATCCTGTGGGCAAGAGTCCATAACATAGCCCCAGTCTGACCTTTTCTCACCATCCTTTTTAAGCACATCTTTTTCCTGGGTCTGGCTCAGCACCATTTGCTTTGTTGTTGTTGTTCAGTTGCTAAATTGTGTCTCACTCTTTGGGACCCCATGGACTTAGCACGCCAGTCTCCTCTGTCTTCCACTATCTCCCAGAGTTTGCTCAAACTCATGTCCATTGATTTGGTTATTCCATCCAACCATCTCGTCCTCTGTCATCCCCTTCTCCTCCTGCCTTCAATCTTTCCCAGCATCAGGGTCTTTTCCAATGAGGCAGCTCTTTGCATCAGGTGGTCAAAACATTGGAGCTTCAGCATTAGTCCTTCCAATGAATATTCAGGCTCAATTTCCTTTAGAATTGACCCATTTGCTTTGTGACCCCCGAAAGGAGGGGGCTGGCCTAGCTAACCTCTGAGGTCCCTGCTAGACCCAAGAGTCTAGACAGCCTAACCCAGAAGGGGGTGGGCACTGAGCGAGTGTGCGCATTGCACCAGGTGCTCTATCTTTGTTATTCATTCTCCCTTCTACCAGTGCAGTGCGGCAGGTATCATCATCCCCCCTTTGAAGAGATGAGGCAACTTAGACCGATGCTTCTGGTTGCCAAACCAGGGCCTCCGCCACTTGCCTCCTCATTAACCAGGCCTGATTTTGTCCAGGATGACAATGAGCTCAGATCCTAGTGAATCAGCAGGTCAAGATTGGTCACCACCAGTTTTGGTGACCATGTGCTGTTTTACTCATGGTTGGCACTGATGCAGGCATGAGAGATATAAAGAGAAGATTGTTGAGGGGTCCTGGGAAAGTGTTTTCTCCCTCATGACAGAAAAAAGAGCAGAAGAGAAAGCCCTTTATGCCTCACTCCTGCTGCTTCAGGCTTTGGATATTACCAGGAAAAGAAGTGAAGCTGGAGGCGTTGTCAGTCTATGGCAATCAAGAGGCAGGGATGGGATGCATCTAAGGATGCAGGAGGAAAGGATAAGTTTGGTCATTGATGGTCTCAATGAGACTGGTAATGCCTATCTCTGGGGTTTTCTCTAGCAAATAATGGCTATCCCTATGAATGAAGCCAGGCTAGTTGAGAATCCTGTCACATGGAACTCAACCCATCCTGACACAGAGGTAACTTGCCAAGGACATGCAGCTAGGAAGTGGCAGCACCAGGCTGCAAAGCCAAATCTGTCTCTGAAACTACATACTTCTAAAACATGACTTCTTGTTATCTGTTTCTCTTTTTCAACATTCTATAAGCTCTATGAATGTGAGGGAGCTTATATTTCTTTTTACTTGTTATTGTGGTCTGGGCAGCCAGCGAGGTGCCTGGCACTTAATAGGTAGTTAAGAAAATACATGAAAAAAATAAATTACTTAAAGTATAACAGAGAGGGACAGGTAGGTAGAGAAGTGGAGACTAGTGTAACAACTCTTTTAAAAAGACTTGCTTAGAGGAGCGAGAATAAGTGATGGTTACAATGGACAAAGAGGGCAGCGAGACTGTTAATATGACAGATGGGAGAAAAGGATGGGAGAGAAATAGGATTTTCAAATCAAGACTGTCTATGGCCAACCCCAGGCGGCATCATTTACATGGCATTACATGTGGCTGACACCTCCTATGGCTGTGTGATGCAGCAGCCCAGCTGCATATAAGAAAGAAGCAATCACCGAT